TTATAACTGGTGGTAAAACTTTATTATTCAAGTTTAGATGTAACAGACATCTTTGCTGCCTGAAGATTGTTTGCATAAGAAATACACCAAGAACATGTTTGTGAGTAGAAATGAACATGCACTATGAAAACCAAAAAACAAAACAAAACAAAAAACCCAAAACAAAACAAAACAAAAAACACATCCATGTGTTGTAAGGACAAAACAATAAGAGCCAACATTCTAGAGTCAAATCAGGGCTACAAGTTTAATGATGGTTTTTAGCAACATGAAGTCATTCTTTATTAAGTACTTTTTTTTTCTTTTTTTCTATTTATCCTGCTGGTGAATTTTCTATAAGCTAAACATACAATGGCATTTTGAGATGTTTCCTTTTCACCTGTTCTCCTTTTATATAAGAGCTCAGAGATCAAAATGACAGGACATTGCACAGAAAACTGTGGTATATGTTAGGTTTATTCTAAGCATTTTACTTTCCTAAGTGTATTGGAAAAAAAGGAAAAAAAAAAAAAAAAAAAAAAAGGCTTTGACCTGTGACCCATTAGATTATTGTCTTTTATCCCCTTAAAATGAGGAAAATTGGGGTTACATATGATTACTGTATAGGTAGCATCTCGCCAACTGCTGGCTCTCCAGAACCGGCTGCATGAAAGAAAACTGTGAGGAAGAGGGTAGGGATGAATCCTATACTGGGGTAAGGAAATAATGCAAATCATTCTACTTGGCTCATCTTAACTTTACAGAAAAGTTTAGAAGGGATTTTTCACTTATCTATCACATTTGGGATACGCTGACAAATTGCTCACTATCCTTTGCCAAGCATAACTGTCTCCACAGAAGCAGAAGGAAATGTATCTACCCTTCTGGATGAACATAAGTGAACTTCTAATCTCTTTGGCTTTTCCTGACCAGTATTAGGAATTAGCATGTTAAACTGGCCAAGAAAAATCAATACAGGAGCAAGAATGGGAATATATTCATGCATCCTGGGCAAAAGCAGATAGCAGACAATATCCTCAGGGCATAATGCAAGCAATTATGACTAGAAAGCAACACTGTCCTGTCCAGAGATGAACTTAAAAGTCCACCCCACGGTTTCTAAATCAGATCTCCCCACTGAATAACCACTGTGTCTCAGCACTGTGTACAGTTAGCACTGGTGACTTTTGTACTATTGCTCCTGGTTGAAAAAAAACACCTCTTCCTCACCCTCAGCATGCTTACACTTCCTAACATGTCTCTATGCTCTCTCTTTCAGAACTGACACCAGTGCACCAGTACACTTTTAGCCAAAGCAAAGATAGAAGGTATCCAGTGTCATCTTTCAGCATAGAGGCAATCTGGCACAAAACTTCTGTTGGAAAGTGCTTGAAGTTGAGGACCCGATCTCGAACTGTGCTCCAGAAAACTGTTGTCTCCTGCTGCATTAAACTAGGGGCAGCAGCCACGAAGTGATAGCTTAAAGATAGTTTGGTTTGCAGAAGATGCTGCATGACAGGTCCGCTGTACAGTGTTAATTCATCAGAAGTGGAAAATGTTCCTGTTCTGCAAGTTTGGATACCACGCACTCTGTTTTTGAACCCTCTGTTCAATTTGGGGTCCCATTTGAGATGCATTTTTAGATCTCCAACAACCCCTCGTAAGTAAGAGAAACACTACACTTTGAAGACACCGGAATGCTAAGAATAAAGACTCTTTGAAAGTATTAAGTTTTAGTCTGTAAGTTGAAACTGCATTGAAATGCAGTGGGTGCACTGAATAATTGTGTGTGCTAACATGGGTTTGCACCTGACAGATATTTATTCAGGATTTATTCTTCTGATCCATCATCAGGGGGACTGGAATAGGAATGGGATCACCTCTTTTTGTTAATAAGCATAACTGTGCTCCCCCATCCCAATCAAAGAGAACAGGCTACGGCAAAGTCCCATTTCTTACAAAACAGAAATCTCAGAACATCTCAATATGTCATGGCAAGAATAACACACTTTCCTCCAATTTTATCTGCACTATCTAGGTGCACTATTAATGTCAAAAACTGTCTTGTTCTTTGCGCTCTTAACATTTCATTTCTCCTCATCCCCAAACCCTGATGGGTGTATTTCTCCTTACTGGCCTCTTGCATCTGAGTAGCAAGAGATACCATGAAGTACAGGGCGGTGCTCAAGTTCTATAATGCGCATGTCCCCCACAACATATTTTGCCATGAAGATGCAGCTTCTATCAGTGAAGAAGCCACAGGTAGGTCTCGGAAGAAATAAGTCAAAACAGTAACTACTGATAACCGGCAGGCAGCTAAATCTGAAGCCAATAAAATCACTGCTAAGTGAGCCTAACGTTTCGTGGAAAAGCTGAAAAGGACACACACTGGACCCTGACGTAACAAAACGAGGGCAATCTATTTCAGTCCCCACAGAAAAAAAGAAAGAAAAAAAAAAAAAAAAAAAAAGGAAACAAAAAATACCCAACAAAAATAAATCAACAAAAACCAAGTCAGAACTTATTACTGGAGAACAATAGTAAAAACATAACCAGACATTGTCCGGCAATGGTATCAAACAGGAGATTCATCTAAAAATAGAATAAGAAGAATGTGGCCCAATATCCTTTGCTAACCTAGAACACTAATAAAGGTTTATAGAACTCAACCATGAATGGATTGAGTGGGATTTTCCATATGCTGCTCACCAGTATAGAAGCAATGGGTGGAGCAGGAAGGAATGCAAGCCTAATGATGAACAATAGCCTGTCTGTGCCTAACAAATCAGAGAAACTGTGCAATAATGTTTCATCTGTGTGAAAATGTAACATCTGAAATACTGCCAAGGTCAGTGAGACCTTTGGTGAACTGCTGTGTAAGTGCTTCTCATGCATGGTGATGGTCATTCCCGGCTCCTTTAGGCACGTTATTTTTCAAAAGACTATCAAAGTGCTGAATGTTTAGGCCAGTTCCTCCCTGTTTTCCTTTTGCCAACCCCTGTAAGACATCTCCTATCATCTCTCCTTTTATCTTCCACCTCCCTGTCTATCTGGTTAAGTATCTCAGAAGTGCACCAAATCCTAGAAGGGAGAGTGGTGAGATTCAGGTATGTTAAATACAAGAACGTTTTTTTTTTTTTTTATGATGCTTTAGTTTCAATTACATGAAAATCTGAGAAAGGCGGCATGTGAGATCAGAATAGGACCCTTTACATATAATCTCAAGTGAGGACTTAGTCCAGAGATATTTTTATAGAACATTTTAAAAAATAAAATGCATGAATGGAGAAATAAAAGACAACATAGTATCAGAAAGACATTTTAAACTTCATTCGCTGCAACATTCATGAACCAGTTGAGCTACACCTGCCATCCAACCATAAGGAGCTAAGACCCTGCACTGCGAAAAAGAAACAAACCCAAACAAAACAAAAAAGCAACTGCGTAATATTGTAAAAATGGAGTGCAATGCTACTACAGAATGCAATAAAACATCAGCGCTGCATCGTCAAACAGCACTTATCAAAATAATTTCTGAAATGTTTCTTCTGAAACACAGACAAAGCAATAAAAAGAGGATATATGTTTATCATTTTAAGCATAACAATGTGAGTTAAGAGCTTAAGAATACAAAAGTACTTGGAATGAATAGTGCTACCCTTTTTCTCCTAAGTAGGCATAAAAATATTTTCATTTCCTTCTTGTTTTTCCATACCATTAATATCAACAAATTTCATTCATTTCATGTTATCGTTTACAACTTTAATGCACACACACAGAAAAAAAGATACCTACTGCAATAGAAATAGTTGCTTCATTACCTTGTTTGCTACATTTGCAAATGTAAACAGCGAGGCAGAGCCAGAACTGACTCTAATGCATGATGGAATATCTTTGTTGCATACGTACACTGTAGAAAATAATTATTCAATATGTCAGGCACCATTATTTGAAATGTAATACATTAATATTTACTAGAAAAATAAGGTTTTTTTTCTATTTGTTCTCCCAACTTCTTTAATGAAATAAGTTAATCTGACAGTGCATCCAGTAGCTTGTAATATCTTCTACATCCCTGTGGCAAAATAATAAACTACTGGTTGGGACACTATAATGAAAATGATTAAAGTCAGTTCTTGTACACCCTTGTAGCAAGCATGGAGGCTCGTCTAACAGCACCTTTAACCAATTATTTAATATTTAGTTATTTAGCCCTATTTCCCTGAGCAGTTATGCTGAGGAGCTTTCCCTTCATGGACAGTTTTTACAAAGCTTTAAGTATTAAAAAGTACTATGAAGACATTTAATGCTACTTAGCAAAAGCTGGTATAAGTCTACTGAAGGGACTGACTGGTACGTATAGCAATGTTAAGTCTGTGGAGAAGTAACCTTAGACTTTAAGGTTTAGAAATGTAATATATTAAAATATATTAAAATAAAATACAGCAGGTTACCTTGTTCCACGCAAATTAAACCCAGAGTGTGGCTTCTGTGTTAGAGACTTCACTAGCACAAAATGGTTTTCCTAGACTAAAGTATGCCAGAAAGAATGTAGTGATAAAATGGTAGCTAAAAATCAGCTGAGTCTGAGAAACATCTAGATGAAATTGCTGCCAAAGCTTTGAGGAGAAAGTGATCCTAAGGCATGTTGTAGGGCAGAAATTAGCCCAAATTGAAAAAAAGAAAATGACCTTTTAACATCTGTATATTTAACAAGTCTAGCTCTTATATACAATGTGCATATGTTCACTATACCTCTGCAGCAGTATATACATATACACATCTTTGCACTCTCGCCAGTTATGTCTCTTACACAACAGCAAAGATATCAAATGTCCGGTAAAATGTTCTCAAAGTTATTTGCCATGGTACACTGCATTCTGGCTAGCTTTGGTGGGCCATGTCCCATATTACTATCTCCTCCACCTTCAGGCCACCACACCGTTGTTCTTTTTTTTTTCTTGGTAACCCACTCATTTAAAAGAAAAAAACAAAAATAAAAATTTAAAAAAAAAAAAAAAAAAAGAAAAAGGAAGAAAAAGAAAAGACAAGGGGTTTAATATTGGATAAGGCATGCTCTCTATATGAAGTGCTTTATAGGTCTTCACAAGACATTACAAGCTATTGAATTCCCATCAAGGAAACCTATTTCTGTTTAATTGTGCTAAGTGCTAAGGTTTACTCTTTAGGTTTTCCATTCTTTTCAGCTTGTGCATTGTTCCTGTGTAGGCCCCTCTGGATGTGAGTTGTGAAGTCATACTTGTCCGTGCAAAGATGCTGGCATATGCTGCACTGGAAAGGTCCACTGTCACCATGGCAACTCATATGCAAAGCATACATCACTTCATCCAGAAAGACAATGCCACAGTGCACACACTTGGTAGAAAGTTCATCTTGAGTACTTCTATCAACTTTCTCTGTTTTTACTACATTCAAGGGACCTTCATTTTTTACATTTGGTGGTGCCTTACTCTTTTCCTTGGAGGCACCATTTGCAGTTGGCCCAGGTCTGGAATGCTTTATCGCCAAATCTAGAGGAATGTCATTGTCTGATCCAACAGCTGAAAAATGAGGAGGCAGATTAAAGGTGGGATAAGGCACATAGTTTTGGCAAGGATTTGGTAGGCCAGGCACGTGACTCAAGTAGTGTGGATTCCCAGGAACAGACAGCTTATATTTACTCCAGAATCTCAGCCAGTCAGCTTCACTCTGAAAGTCATTGTGTACAAACGGAAGTCCAAAGAGTGGGTACTGGTATTTTTCAATAGGGCTTCCAGGTGGTGAATAGTTTGGGTGTTTCGCAGGTCTCATATACTTTTCTATCGGGCTGCCTCTCTCTGAGCTTCCTTTCCCTTCTGATATCGATGAACTGTTGCCTGGGTCTCCAGTACTTTCCTGAGGACTTTTTATCTGAATGTGCAAAGGTTGCATCCTTTTGTGAATATCCAGAGACTGGCTGACCAATATTGGCTGCTGAGCAGAATGGCTTTTAGTCAATGAACCTTGGGCCTCATATTTACTGAGGCTGGGAAGTTGAATTTCTCTCTGATGACCTTCAGTTAAGTGATCCTCTGACCTCCTCTCTAAGGGGCTTCCATTGACTTGCTCCTCACTGCTACCCCTCTGCTGTTTGTTTAGCTGCTCAGCCTGAAGTGCCTCCGGGTTAAGGCGCTTTCTTGTTCGTCTTCTAATGATCTGCTCACCATTGTTCTGCTTAATGATGTTTAAAGGCCTGGGAGTCTGCACGGAATACACACATAATGAACAAAAGGGAAAAAGAAAGAGACATTAAACAAATCTACCTGATCAGGTTCATGCAAATTTATCATTTATTTTGTGAAAAGATATAAGAGAGTTTTAAGGAAATCACTATTTTTCACAAATAAAGCAAACCAGAAGGCTGCTACTTGGCCCCTCATGTTAAAAATAAACTGTGAATTGCTTTATCACAATAAGTGAACCATCTTAGTACTATACCTTTTTGCTTAAGAAAGGATGGAGCCTCTAAGTTGTCGTATTTCTGAAAAAGTCTGGGAGAGATCTGCTCAAAGAGGGTGCTGAAAGCTAAAGATTAGGTGGGAGATGCATGCTCTACACGCTAGTGTTACTCCATATACTATGTCACAAGGGCTGGTACTAGCCAGGGGTTTGCACAGATCACACTACAGCAAGAACTGGGTATTACTTACCTTTACACCTACCCCATTTTTCTACAAATAAGAAATGACAGTAAAAACTTGACTTTCTGATCATCACCACTGTTACCTAGCAGAATGGATGCAGACCTGCACAAAGATGCTGGGACTTTGTCACCAAAGCCTCTTCCTTCATTCCTAATTTATTTTTTCCCAAATGTTATAATGCTGTGCTACATGAGGGAGAGAGGAAGGCTCCAGAAGGAGGGAAAGGGTCTGCAAAGAAAAAAACAGCCAGGAAGAGGCAGAACCAAGCAAGGCCTTCTGTTTCCATTTGATACTTCCCTACACCAGCTCAGAGTAGGTGGCCTATTTAGAGAAGAGCTGAAAATACCTCTGCATGAAGGAAGAAAAATAAAATGAGGCAGGACAGCAGCCAGGCCTCTTTGAAAGGCCCCTCAGCATGAAGGCAATGGTATGTGCATGAAAGATGGTACTGTAATGTCAGTATGTGTTGCTCTACTGGGCAGATGTTAAAACAACAAAAACTACCTAAAAGTCATTCAGTTTGGTGTTCTGGAGTTGCCGTTTGTCTCATCCAAACACGCACATAATCCTGTTTTGGTTGGAGGCCAAAGAAGTGCCCCACAAAGTATTCCACTTATATGTTTATTTGGGAATTTTCCTTTTAACATTGTTTTAAAGAGCAGACTAAATTTTGGCCTACAATCAATATCCAAAACAATTTGTAACTTAAATGTAACATAATTTTATATATTAATATAAAAGTATCCAGAGCTGGAGGAGTTCTCATTCTTCTACTTATTTCTTTCAATATGCCATTTTCTCTTTTTTAATCTATTTACTTTCCTGATGTCTACTCATTTTTAATGGTTAACCACATTTTAGGCAGTGCAGCTACTTGTTCTAATTCCACTTTCTATTAAAAATCTAAATAAAAAGACTCTGATTTAGAGTCTAAATACACAAAATTTCAACCCAGCAGAAAACGAGCATCTGAACCAATCTCAAAGAGACCAAAATAAGCCAAGGCAAAATCATGTTCAGATTAAATTAGAATATTTCAACGTAAATTTTATGCAAATAAAGTTTACAGTTGCAGATTCAATGACCAATTAATATACATATTACAAGCTCAGTTTAACTTCCTTACTTTTTGGTAACACTGTCATATTGATAAAGCATGACAGAATTTAAAAATCTGTTCATGTTGCTCACATTAAACTTTGATTTATTCACAACAGAACACTTTATATGGGTTCAGAATAAAATTTCCAGAGATTTGGTAATACTTTTAACCTTTCTACAGGTATGAAATTTGATTCTGCAAGCAGTTAAAAGAAACATCTTCACACCTGTGAGGGAGGATCCTCATACACATCTGCATTTCAACTCATTTTGTCAGAAGTTAATGGCTGTAGGTACAACTTAACAATACAACTTCTGACTAGTCTTCAGCGGATTAAAACAGCATATTCAGTGGAGTAACACTACACACGCATTTCCTATTTACAGTAAAAAGGGGCAGACAGCAATATTACTTGTGTTTGCAATGGGGCACTCAAATTAGAAAACAGAATTTGCCAAAATTTTCCTTTTCAAATGTCCTATATTAGATTTTTAATTATACGTTACACATAATGTATGAAGTACAATTTTTTTTTTTTTTTTTTTGCCATCTCTGTATCAACTGGTGATCTCCACTCCTCAAAAGTACAATACAAAAAAAAAAAAAAAAAAAAAAAAGAAAATTCAGCAAATAGCTCAGTGAATTATTTTGACTAGACTTCCTATATACAATGGGAAATTGCTGTGACCTCTGCACTAGGAGATCATTTATATCTAATCCTAGAGTAATATGCTGTAACCCCTTAAGGAAGTAGGCTGAGAATTTGGCCAAAGAATCTCTACCGAACAAAATCTAGTTTTCCATGACTGTATCAGAGTTATTAAACAAAGAGGAATAACACCGCAATATAAGTTGTCAAATTCATGACTTTCTGGAGAGAAAAAGATTACACCTTTCTATACCAGTGAATGCGAATATTGTGTATGTGCTTTCACTGACATGGAAGTATCTTTTTTCACTTAAACTATTTTAATAATTGACCATTTAAATATTATTACACATTTCGTAGCCTATTTGTCTGCATTAAGGGAGAGAAATGTGAAACACTTGACAAGCTTCATGCAAATGGTCCATAGGTATATTGATAGAAATGGAAATGTGACTCCTACCAGGAATCATTACAATATTAACATTTATCAGTCCGTATTTCTTTAGTTCTATTGGACAGATCATGGATTTTTCTCCTTACTAAATACCGGTAAAACATGAGACTGCAGAGATAAGTGTATGATACACATTCTTAAGTATTGATTGGTTAATGAGCACAGTAGTTTTAAGCAGTGATAATCCAATTAAAAGGTAGCTATGAAATGCACAAACCTACTAGAGGTGAATAATTTTATTCAGTTGAGTAGCATAATTTAGTTTAATGGGGCAGCTTATAGGAGGGAGCAGTTCTACTCCCTTGGATTTTTTTATATTTTCAGCCTAATAACTGTATCATCCTAGACTCCTTAATTTAAAAAATATATAAATGACAAATGCTTACTATAATTTTTCATGAAGAGATAGCTAGAGAGATATAGATAAAACAAATCTTCAAATTTCTGCTGTCACACGAGAATATGGGACTGTCTTAAACAGTGTCCCAATGGAGAGACATGTTTGATTATTTAAGAACCCAGTTCACACCAAAGTTGCTACTGTACCATAGCAGAGTGGTGTCTTAATAGAATTCTTTGTGTTTGTTTGGTAAAAGTTCAGTTGTAGATATTAATGTCAAACATCCACTTCATGACAGCTTACTGTCATGCCTGGGCAGTGGATTTAAAAGACAGTGCCATCTTCTTTTTTTCGGTATGTATAAATGAAGTTTGACATTGCATTGCTAACTATTATGATGGGAAGCATACTAGTTTGAGCCATATGGTTCATAAGAATTATCTGAGCTATGTTTTTAATTCAAAACTGATACTTGCCTCTTTTATACATTAATTAAGTTACAGTAGTAATTATGGTGAACTTCAACACTTCAATTTAGAAATGTATATCATATAAAGGAAAAATGGAGGCTGTCCATAGAAATTCTAAAAATAAATGGAATCTAATGTCAAATTAATGTTCCAAAGCCAAACTGTCCTTTTTAAACCTTTGTACACGCTCACGAGTAATCAATGTAACTTAAATCAGACAACGTATTTAGAACTTTCAGAGTTCTCCAGGAAAATGATACTTTCAGCAAGACCTGACCAAGATGCTGGCCAGAAATCATGCATTAGTCCATCTTCTCCTAATCAGTTGTCATCTGACTGGTTGGGATGTTCTGGACCTAAAAAACAGTTACTGATCTCAGAATGATAGCACACAGAAAACAGAGCTACTGTTTAACAATGGTGATCATCTTGCTGCTTATGAAAACTGGAATACTTGATATAAAGTGATCTTGAGTAAACAGGATTGTTATATGGCCTGCGCATGAGACAAAGGATGAAATCCATTCAAATTATTGACTTATTTAGAAGTTTATGCCTCAAATTTATAGATACATAGGCACTTGAGTAATAATGCATTTGGATAGTTTCCTGTTTTTCTGTTGTTGTTCCTATTTTATTTTTTTTCATTTTGAAAATATAATTTCTAAAAAATGTTTTAAAAAAATGCATTCTCAACCAGAACACAGGTTTCTGATCTGACTGTTACGTTGCCTTGACAAATTCCAAAGTCTCTCAGCTTCTCTTACCAAAAACCAGTACCACTTTCTAATTTCGTAGCAGGGAATAACATTTAACCCAACATTAAAAATAATACTGGGTCTTAATCTAAAAGATTCTGAGCATTTTGGAACAGATCCAAAGAAACACTTAAACATGGATTTCCTGGACCTGGACCAAAGCATTCAACATCTGTCAGGATCAAGCCAAGTGTCGATAAGACGAAAAGCAATACAGACAGCCCATGATTATTACTTATTCCATGCCTGATCCAGAGGGATGATGAAAAATTATCTCAGAAAGTAATGAGTGCCATCACGTGAGCAGTTCCTTGTTACTTCTGAATCCTGAAGCAGGGAACTGTGGAAAAAAGAGAACTGAAAAAAAAAAAAAACAACAAAGAATTTCTACGAAATTTGGTGTGAGGAATAAAGGGGGGAGAGGAGTAAAAGCAAGCAAAAAACAGTGTTTTTGATATGGAGAGAGCTTCATCACAACATACTGTTTGCCTATAAATGGAATTCCCAGAAAAGAAATAATTTTCCCTTTATTTCCTATCAAAATAATTAAATGCATCACTGGTGATCTCAAACATGTCTACCCACAGCATCCCAGCCTTTTACATAATGAATCACATCTGATTCCAAAGTGACCATACTGCAAATCCCCATTAGGAAATTAACTGCAGGCCAGGGAGTGGTAGTAATCACACAACCAGGCAAGACCACAGTTGCCCAGCTTAACTGTATAACCCCTTTTTTCTGAACAAACCAGCAAGTTCTTCCTACCGAGTGAAGCTTCTGGTAGAGGCCACACGCATTGCATACATATCCACCATTTGCATTCTTTCGCCAGAGAGAGGTCTTTGTGGTCAGGCAATTGGCACAAAAAACACCCGAGCCTCTACGTCTCTGAAATAGGGAAGAAGAAAAAAAAACACAGAAAAAAAAAAAACAGGTCAGAGGTGAGTCACATGATCTGCGGAGTTAGGACAAATCAACACAGGAGTTTTGTCTCTAGACTGGCAACAATGACAGTATAAACCCACACTGCCCATAATGAGGTCAGGTTCAATTGTGCTTAATAGGCACCACTGATTTTCATTATAATTAACCCTGGAGTGATGGATGAGGTGTGTGAAACACCAAAGCCTTTTCAGAATAACAGCTTTAACTTTTTGAACTTCAGGTTTTGTGCATTTAATGATGGTTTCTAAACAGCAAATTCTGAAAAACCACTATGGAAGCTGACAGAGAACATTCTGTAAACTTCTCCTGTTTTGTTCACTGCGTTTCACAACAGATTATTTCTTTTCCGTTTGCTTGATTTTAAAGTGCGATCGGTAACAGGGATCCCGAAACACCACCATGATAATTAGTTGCAGTTTGTATTTGCGTCATACTAATTCCTTTACTAGAGACTATACTTCTTTAATTGAATACATGATATTCAGTTCCAGTCGTTCCCACTCACTTCAGAAAGCGGAGTAGGAGCACAGACTTCCCTCAGCCCGCTAAGAACAAGGAGTAACGTCTGCCAAACAAATAAAAGTACAGTATGCTTAATGAGACCTCTTTTGAGCTGTACCTGAAATCCAAGAAAACAGTCTCATCAGCACACAGACATATTTATTTTATTCAGGCAAGGAAAGGCACAGTACAACTTTCCTAAATACCAATTGATTTTTAACCAGACTGAGCTGTGCATTCATCAGCTTTCATAATGATCCAAGAATATTTAAAAGTAGACAAGTTTATGAGTATTGCTCGTTAAATTCTTTCTGCAGAGCAATGATTTTATTAAATCTCTCATTTAAATAAAAGTCAGGCTGTGTTTGTGGGCACAAATACTAATAAGCAGGAAATGGAATTCTTTTGCTGAAAAGAAAATCTGAATTTCAACTTTGTTCCCTTTTAGCAAAGGAAAAAAAGTCAGTAAGAAACCTTCAGCATCGAAGATAAGAATGGTCGAGTATAGGGAAAAACAGTCTGGGTGAAAACTAATTTTATTATAAATTAAAAATTACTAACACTGTAAGTCAAAATTTCAGGGTTTCATAAAATTTAAGTAATTTATTTAACTTTAGTCTATACTGTAGAAGACCAGTGTTCATGCCAAAAAAATACAATGGTTATAATTGTACTCTGATACATTTCAAATGGAAAGCTTTCTGCAGACATAATTTTGGCTTCAAGACTGGAACACTTTCTTGGCATTGAAAGGGCATTTGATTCATCGGGTGTTTCACAATGTATCACTAAAAAGACCTGGTGAGCAGCCAGTTCCCTATAGGGTAATTTTTCCATCCAGATGCAAGTGCTATCAGAGGCCCTCGTCAGCTAAACTAATTATGATCTTGCATTTGCTGATGCCTGCTCACTCTAACATTCGACATCCTCTATTAATCATCAATACAAGGAAAATGAATGAAACGTAAAGAAACGAGGGCTGGTAAGCTGCACAGCCATAAAAATCTGAAATGAGTGCAATAATTTAACAAGATTGGGGAAATGTTTTTAGTGAGCACAAAGTCAGGCTAACAATTGCCCTTTTAAACCAAGAACACAATTTCATTAGTACAGCAGGTTGTGATACTTTAAGGTGATACAATAAAATCAAGATTGTCGTCGAGATAATCTCTCTCTCACCCTCTTACATCATCTCCTACTTTGTCTCTTAAATCAGAAGCAGTAATGCACTACTATTTCTCCATTTGGGTAGGGGGAGAACTGAACAGTAGCCCGATATCCTTCAGCCAACATTGAACACTCTGTATTCGAGACAGCGTCCGCTGGGAAGGTGCCTTCACCTCCCAGTAAACTGGAGCTCCTAGCGCTGTTTGTGGTTGCATACCCCAGCAAAACTTCACCTGGCTTCTGAAATATTTTCCTTCCGAGCACAATGAAAGATTCACTGAACTAACCCCAGTTTGGTCCATTTGAAAGGCGAGAAGTTTCCAAGCGGAAATGACTGTATATGGCCAGGATTCAGATACAACTGCGTAACTGTTCCTTTCCATTCCTACTTTTTGTCTCTAGGCCTATGGTTTCTTGGTGTGGTATATTAAACAAGTAGAGTCTTAATCTGAGTAAGTCTTTCCACCCTTTCATTTCTGTTTGCATTACTTGAGCTTTGGAAATAGCCTCTACAAAGTTATGGAAGACTTTTAAAACACGGAGAAACACAGGGTTTATGCTCTGCATTCACGTACACCTGAATGGTGACCGAAAGAGACTGAAATCCTCACTGAACCATATGGAACTAGTCTATGTTTAAAACACTGAGAAAAGTAATTCCATTTTCATGTTTGGTTTTTCAGAGAAAATATTTCATTCATTTTAGAGAAACATTTCATGGGTTTCAGTTGCAATGAAATAATGCTGACAAAAAGCTAAAATTTTTTTTTAAAAAATACCAATGCACCAAAATATATAGGTACATATTATATAGATATATATATAGATACATAGATACAGATCTCTGTATAGACATATAGACATATATAGATACATAGATATACACCAAAACTGATAGACGCTTCCCTGTATTTAACATAGATTTGTCTTTCTTCACCTTCCTAGTCTCTTATCGCAATGTTATTTAAAGACTACGGGAAAATCAACAATCATTATTACTCAGCTAAACCATTCCAACCGTTACACATACTAATGAATTAAAAATTAAATCACCTCTAGAAATGCTGGTACTTTGGTGAGCTTTTTTGTTTGTTTGTTTCTTTGTTTTTAAACATCTTTTTATAATGGGGATGTGTTGCTTTAAAGCGGATTTCCTGAGTTGAAAGGACTGGGGCAGAATCAGAGCATATTCCTGGCTCCTAATTCCCACTAACTAGAGAACTGACCTGGTTGTCATTTGTCAAATATGTACCTGAGTCATGCTGATCATCCCTCCAAGAAAAAACGGAAGTTCTTTTTAAAAGCCTATAATGCTCCTAGTTCTCTTCTCCTAAACTATTATAGTTTTCTTAAAAAAAAAAAAAAAGAAAAAAAAAAAAAAAAAAAAAAAAAAAAAAGAAAAGTTTGGCCCTTACTTTCCATATAGAGAAATCATGTTCTGAATCATGTTATTAGCAAACAGGAGTTATCTGAGTAGTTATTTTTTCTGTCTTGGAAGTTAATTAGTGATGACATTTCTACTTCATGAGTGTCTGTTTGGCTATGCATATTCAGCTTTTATGTTAGTCAAGAACAACGGCCAATACTGCTAGTATTTTGGGATAGTCTCACAAAGTAGCAGACATTTGAGCTCCAATTCAGCAAAATTTGAACAACAGCAACAGACCACAGCCTCAGTAAAACCCAGGCATATGCTCAAGAGCTGCGCTGTGACCAAACCCTGTCCACCATTTTAAAGAAATATGGAACCCTTTGCTCTTTTTCAAACACAAACAGACTTATCATAATTAAAGAATCTCTTATGATCATCCCCGAAAAGGTAAATCAATGTAACTAATCATGGGAAGGCTTGAGCCACAGTCTCCCATTCAGTGCTACAAGCACTAACAGGAGGTATCAATGAAAATTTCCCATATATCGTTGGAAGAATAAGCCTGAAGGATGTAAGTAACTAAAATATATATCTACTAAGTCAAACCTTAATCATCTGGAGCCTTGTAACCACTACATTACAATCAGAAATCCTGAAGGGGCCAGTGCAGTTTCTGCATTTCCATTCCAACTCCTGGGTTTGGGCATTTAACATCATGGTTGTCTCAAATCACACTGGGCTGAAACTTGGCACATGCTTTTCTCAGCCCAGATGTAACCTTACTTTTTTGTTGTTGTTTTTGTCTGAAAACTTTATTTAAATCAGTTCAGCTGTTTATAATTTGGAGATTTGCCAAAATTGTGGTGGGGGTAGTGAGAGTGGACAGGGGAATTTCAAGTCCTTCATATAACTTTGGGAGAAATAAAATTATGTGCATGTTTTAATATTATAGCAAAGCAACAAGTGGATTATTATTTTTATATAACTAAGCTAGGAATAGTGACTATTCACTGAACAAGCGTTACAGATCTCTCTACTGTTTCCCCATAGTAAGAACCGTACTGAAAGCATGTAATTGTATAACAACCCTTGATATGCAGAGTATTTACTCACATTTTGTATGGTTTCATATCTTGACCATTTCTAATTGAACAAATCTGAAACCTGGTATACACATCATCAGGTTTGAATGGGTATTTTTTTTTTTTTTTTTTTAACTCCTTAAATGGTTTTCAATAATTTAAACAAGAGAATTATTAGAGAATTTTGCTAGCCAGTAAAACAATAGAGAGTACTTTAAGAAGTTATTCATTTAGGTACATTGACAGTATCAGGACCTTGTTTTTCATTAAAAAAAAATAACAACAACATGATTTAGATTTTAAAAATGATGTCTCACATTTTATACAATTTCAAATTTTGTAGCCATGCAGAAGTGTCACGACTCTACAGTAATAGAATACTGTAAAACGAATACTTAAAACACAGTGTACTTTCAGATAGTATTTTAACAGAACTTCATTTAGAAAAATATGTATTGTAAATGCACAGCCAAAGACACTGCTCAAAAATGGTGTCTTTTTAGAAAGCCAGACTAATTGAGGGTTCTTGACACTCTTCTAGTTCCAAATACATCCTCTTTTCAAAATTTCTGCCAGAAGATACTTTTAGAAACTCAAATAGGCTCCACAGGCATCAGCCAAGCATTTTTCTGACATCATTCTTCCTTGATTTTGGACACAACAAAACTTGTCTTTTCGCTGATTACTTTCACTTCCCTATCACAAAAAGATGATACAATGAAGCCTGGATGGATCTTTTGACCATCTTTGGCTTTTCGTCTGTGACAAAAATGGAGAACATAGTAATCACAGGTCCAGAATATATCCAGTGCAGACGTCAT